ATGATGGGCCTAATTATGGTCGTGTACAGCCACCTAACAATGAGCGGTGATAGTCCCCAGGTTTTGCTAATCATTTTGCGGCATTGCCAGAAAATGATGTTGGTCTTAGTAGTAGTTTTGTCTATGTGTGAACCCCAGTTCAGTTTGGAATCTAGGGTTATTCCTAGATACTTTACCTCGTTGGAGAGCCTTAGTGTCGTGTTAAATAGTTTCGGTAGCCGATAGTCGCCTAAGGCTCTTTTATTCGTGAACATGACTAATTCTGTCTTCACTGGATTCACCTTAAGGCCGTAGTCGTCACACCATTTTTCAACTACCTTCATTGCCCCCCGTGTAATGTCACAAGCGGTGCTCGCAAACTTACCCGGGATTAGGATTGCCAGGTCATCCGCATAGCCCACCGTGTGGAAGTGAAGGTTGTTTAGTTTGGTAATTAAGTCGTTTACGACTACATTCCATAGCAGAGGCGATAGTACTCCTCCTTGAGGACATCCTTTAGTCGCCAATGCTCTGAGATGGTTGTCGTCTTGTAGTCTGATTAGTCTGTTACGGAGCATGTTACTTACCCAGTATATAATGTTCTCATCGACTCCGTGTTTGCCAAGTGCGTTTACAATACTGGCGAAGCTTGTTTTGTCAAACGCGCCTTCTATGTCTATAAAGGTGCCCAGACATAGCTCTTTTCGTCTGAGACTATCCTCTATTTTACTTACGACTGCATGTAGTGCAGATTCTGTCGACTTGCCTGGACAATAGGCGTGTTGGTTTAGATGTAGTGGAAAGCTGGTTAATTGGTTATCTCTCAGCTCTCTGTCACACAGTCTTTCTAAGGTTTTTAGCAGAAATGATGAGAGACTTATTGGCCTGAAAGATTTCGCTTCGTTGTAGTCGGCCTTACCTGGCTTTGGTATGAAGATTACCTTGACCTCCCTCCAAGGCTTCGGCGTGTATCTGAATGCAAGACACGCTCTCAGGAGGGGCACCAGGATAAGGATTAGCGCTTCACCTGCCCATTGAAGCAACGCCGGAAAGATGCCATCTGGTCCGGCTGCTTTAAATGGCTGGAAGCTGTTAATGGCCCACCTTAACTTGTCCATGGACACTGTCCTCATTGCAGTGTTCCAGGATTGTTCCGTGGGGGTCCAGCAAGTGTCATTCCAGGTGTGTGTCGTGTCTATGATGCAGCCTGGAAAGTGGGTTTCGAGCAGTACCCTCTGTGCCTCCTCCACTGTCTCTGTGAGGGAGCCATCAGCTTTCCTGAGCTGTGAAAGGTCTTGTTGTCTGTCTTTGGAAAGCAGTTTCCTTACCTTATTTGCCTTGGTGCATGAGTCTATTTCAGAACAAAATTTCCTCCAAGACCCATTGCTCCAGTATCGGATGCGTTTTTTATAAAGAGCCTTGGCATCTTTATACGCATCCCAGTCTTGGTCGTCACATGTGTTCATGGCCCTGTTAAAAAGTCTTCTTACCTTTTTCCTCAGTTTGTATAGCTCGGGGCCCCACCACGACTGGCTGGCATCCGAGTTGGATGATGGTGTACTGAGAGGACAGGCTGTCTGATAGCATGAGATAATTACCCTTGTTAATTCCTCAGCTGTTTCGTCTATCTTATTGGTTTCGTCTAAGCTTTCAGCCTGCATATGTTGCAGTGATAGTGTTACCTGTCTGCGATATTGGCTTCTATTCGTTTTCTTGGGTATGCGTCTTGGTGACTGGGTAACACGCTGTACCGCGATGTTGAACCTAATCCACCTGTGGTCAGAGCAGGATGCCTCTGGGGAGACGTGCCAGTCAGAGATCAATCCCGCTGCTCTCCTTGATGCAAGAGTAAGATCGATGATAGATCTACCTCTTCTTGTTACGAAAGTAGGTTCAGAACCTGTGTTTATTATGTTAAGGTTTGTGGTAAATAGGTAATCTACTAATTCCTCACCTCGTTTGTTGCTTTTCGTCATGCCCCACAATTGATGGTGGGCGTTGGAGTCGGTGCCGATGATCAGCGCCTTGTCAGTTTGTTCACAGTGTCTCACCAGCTCAGCCAGTTCCCCTGACGGAGCCTCCTCTCCCTCAGGCATGTAGGCAGAGGCAACTACCAGGACAGGTACACTTGGATTTTGCTGTTGTATTATTTGTATTGTTGTTATGTCGCTAGAACAAAATTGTGTCATTATTTTTGCCTGCAAGTGTCTTGAACATACAATGCAGGTCCGCGGTGCGCGGTTACCTGGGTTGTAAAAATTCTTACCACCGGTGTTGTTGAGGCCACATATGGTGTTGGATCTGATCCACGGCTCCTGGACCAGAGCGATAGCCCCGTCGTTGTTCTCCTCCAGCCACTTCCTTAGTTGAGCCGTTGCGGTGCGACTGTGCTGGAGGTTTGTCTGCAGGAGCTTAATTGTCGTCTGTTGGGGCGCCATCTGAGGCGAGAAGCACATCGACATCAACCTCCTGACTGATGTCGATCCCCCCAAGTTTGTCCGCCCACTCGTCAACCACGTCTGTGTCCCCCTTCTCCTCAGATGTGGACTCCATTGCAACTGGAGTGTCTGTGATGGTCTGTTGTGTCACGGCTGGTCTAGACGTGCTCTGTACCGGAGTAGATGTTTTTTCCTCTAGAGGTGGCAGGCTCTCCAGGTACTGACCACCCTGGTTCCTGAACCTCACGTATACAGAGCCCATCAAGTAGCAGAGGCGTCTGCCTCTAGCTAGTAGCCCCTCCGCGACGTCCCTGGTCGTGCTGAACACCAAAAAGGTGCTATCGTCACCTGCGATGGCCTTGTGCAGGATCCATCGGTCAACCTCTGCGAACTTGTTCTGGTAGCGCAGCAGCTTGGCGATTGTGTGTGGTTCTCGCGTCCCCGGTATGAGGAGGCCACAAACCACTCTCTTCGGCCTGTCGATCTGGCGCTGCACTACTAGGTCGTCTAGCCCCGGTATTTTTAGGCTGTCCACTACCTTCCTGACCCACTCCAGTGTTTTGGGTGTTTCGCACCAGAGGCTCAGGGCGCCGTCCCCAATGATGGGTTTTCCCTTAAGGTTTGGGGCTTCGTCCGTTGAGGATCCTGCTGTTAGCAGTTCCTCCACAACGGCCTCCTCCAGGGCCTTAAGGACCAACCCAGCCTGGGTGGCACTAATGTGTCCCGTCTTTTTGCTGGTGATAATCACCAGCAGGTCTGCAGTAGCTGCGTCGGCGAAGGAGACCTTCCCAGAAGAGCGACGCGGTTCGTCGTTTTTGGGCTTTTTATATTGCCCCCTCGGTGACACCGTGTCATCAAGTCTGGGCCTCTTTGAGGCCTCCTGTCTGTCTGTCTGTCCGGTCTTGGTCTGTCTTTTTTCTGTCCGTCTGTCAGTCCATTTCCTTTGTCCGTCTGTCTGTCCCTGGTCCTGGGTTCCTTCCTGACCCGCTTCCGCTTGTCTGGTGGTCTCCGCCGAGAGAAGTCTGTCGCGGGCCTTCCTAGCGCGTTTACCGTGCTTCAGTCGGCCCGTCTTCGGTTTGGTGTCCTGAGCTGGATTCCTGGTTTTGTCCTCCACGCGCCGATTTTTACGTCGGTGCGTAGCGACTTGCCAGGAGTCAAGCTCGTCTGTCGTGTCCTGTGGTTGCTGCCTGAAACCGGGTTGCCCCTTCACCAGGTCTGCCAACTCACTGGACGTAGATGGTCTATTGTCTGTCTCCGTCGGCCTGAAACCGGGTTTCCCCTTCACCAGGATCAACGACGGTTGTCTGTCGGTCTCTGAGTCTTGCCTGAAACCGGGTTTCCCCTTCACCAGGTCATCGTCTGTGTCTGTCTTTTTAAATTGGGATCTGTTATGTGCCATTTCCACGTGTCTAATAAAATTCATCCTCACCAGTCCCACCCGCCACGGAGCCACAACTGGGATGCCGATATTAAAAATCAAGGCACCAGGATTGTGGTGAGGATATAGGGGCACAGGGTTTTCCTCTCAGCGCGACATCGGGAACTGCAGCTACATGGCTGGTAGTCGATCCCAACTACCAGTGGTTCCATGCAACCTTGCTCCTTCAGCATGGCCGGAGTCCATCGCTAGATGTTAAGAGCGACCCCCACACCCCTCGCCGGCGACCCATAGACGGTAGACGCCCTGACCGTTGCCTCGTGGTCGGCTACACCACGAAGTTGCCGTCTCGCTTGAAATCCGGGCCAAAGTGCTGTGTTGCTTCCGGGGTGCCGCAGCTACCCTTTCCGCTCAAACACCAGGATCCCTTCATCCCTGCTTACGGCGATGCTGCGCAGGTCCTAGCGCAGGAGAGGCTGACGCACCACCAGGCCGCCTCCCTACTCCTGGTGGATGGGGAGGAAAATCGTCTGACCATTTCAGTTACGTCTGTTTCATAGGGAATCAGACCAATAACGGGCGGCAACCACGTGAAGGAAAACAGCCAGGCTTGTCTGGGGGATCTACACGACCTGCGCTCGCTCCCCAGACCATTCACCAGATTACCAGACGGGACGCAGAATGGTAAAATAGGTGATGTGTTAGGTTTAGCCGTCTTTGTGCTATATATAAACCTAACACATCCCCCGCCCTGGTTCCCGTACCGGGAATCGAACCCGAGCCTCCTGGGTGAAAATGTCACCTAACCTACATGTTAAGATATCATAAACTACAAACAGTCGCTCATTCATTCATAATAAATAGCTACATAAGAACATGGATACTTTTTCGAAGGTTAACATTTTATTCTTGTATTGTTGTCACAGTTTTGTTAATATTATTCAATGCCATTTTTTTCTGTACATGTACACATTCAAATCATTTGGAAGTTAAAGATTGAAAATGCTGTACAGTTAATGAGCTTCTCTATGTGTAGTAACAGACAGGACTTAATACATAAGTTAGAAGTACGTGGCATTTAAAGTGGTAGTTAAGCATCAGAAGTGGCGAAACATAAAAACTGTTCATGAAGGGACGCGGACGTACCAACTACCAAATATTATAGATAGATGGAAAATTGAAGGCGTATAATATTTGAGTCATGCGACAGGAGCCTCGTTCGAAAGATAACTCCGCTTGTTTTCCTTATCAAGATTAATATTATACGTACGCCGATAAAAATATCAAAACCGCTGAAACTCAACGCTAGTGGCGCTGAGAGTGAACGATCGTACGCTTCATGTTCTTGAGGTTTACAATAGAATTAAAACAAACGAAAAATGTTAGAAAAGTTTTATAGCACCGTCAAGTATTCGTTGGTTTCAGTGAATTTCTTGTTCGTGGTAAGTTGTGCGTTTTTTTGTGTGCTAAGATGATAGTTGTAATGGGTACATAACATTAGGCGATTTCGCAATGTGATGACTGTGTTTCTTGTGACGGGTGTTTTCAGATAACTGGCATAATTATATTGGCTATTGGCAGTTCAGTGCAGAGAGCGTATAATGGATACCATTCCTTCCTTTCGGAGAGGCTTCTGTCTCTACCAGCGTTTTGCATTGCCACGGGTATTATCATATTCATTATCGCATTCGCTGGATTCTATGGAGCTTACAGGGAAAACTACTTAATGATAATGGCGGTAAGTGTACCTAAGTTTATTCAAATAAATATAAAAATGAATCCCTAATACCTTGATTACAAAATAGTTTGAGAACGATTTTACCGATTTAATCCATTTTTAAAGTCTTCTTATACTTTGTAGAAGGTTTTTACAAAACTAGTTTCCAACTCTACCTGATAGGTGGAACTGCAGCCAGGTTTTAAGACTACCTTTGAATATGAATTTTATTGAAAAAGGACATTATGAATAGACATAAGGACACAGTAATATGTTGTTCCGATCAATATGTATTTAAGTGGCCACATTCATGTACGAAGTATTTCACTAGGCGAAAGTACTTGTGTTACGGAAAGCGGAACCACAGACACCCAAACTCTAAATAACGGAAATAAAAGTGTCATAATATTCCAAAGGTTCTTTAGATAGCGTATTTATTTGTGTGATGAGCACAAATAAATTCCCTATTCATGTTTCTTTAAATATATAAAAATAGTTATGCCAATACAAGCTAAAAGAAAAGTCTATAACACCTGTATTCTGCCCTGCTTAACATATGGTTGTCAAACATGGACACTAACGAAAACCTTAACAAACAAACTGAGCGTCTGTCAAAATAGCATAGAAAGAAGTGTCATTGGAGTCAACAGAAGAGATAAAGTAAAATTAACAGAAATAAAAAACAGAACTCAATTCAAACGGGCACATTCTGTATATCGAACACTAAAATGGCGATGGACCGGACATATGTTGAGGGAAAGGCTAGAGAAATGGACCAGAATAATAACAGAGTGGTATCCAAGGGACGGTAAAAGAAACAAAGGTGGGCAAACGAAAAGATGGGAAGATGATTTAAAAAAGGTGGCTGGTTCAGAATGGATCAGAGTTGCAAAAGATAGAGGAAAATGGAAATCTTTAGAGGAGGCCTATGTCGAAAGACAAGCTGTGTCAGAAAATAATGACCCGAACGCTGATAATTTAGAATAGAAACAAATATAATATTAATTATATTTAATTGGATTAAGAAAATGTTTCAAAGATTAACAGCAATAAAGGCTTATTTTATTTTATTTAAATATATAAAAAAGGGGTATACCTAAGTATGTAGAAAACCATTATATAAGTTATACTTAGGTTTATTATTTGATATAAATAGAATCTCATAGGTACCTGATTAGGAGGACAATTAAAACGTCATTAGTGTACCTTTTGTGTTTATATCTATGTAGCAGTAGATGCCTTCCTACTGATAAATATTCTGTGCTTTTTACCTATTTAATGGATAAAGTTAAGCGATATTCTTGTATGTATGCATTAACTACAATATCCTACTGTCTACTACTACAATAATAATTAAGACAGGATGTAAAATGTAGATTTAGGCATGATGTAGAGATGGTTTATTAGGCATTTTAGATAGATTTATCAGAACCGATAAGTATCTTAAAAAATATAAGTATAAAATGCTAGTACCCACTAGCATTTGATAATCTTTTTTTTTAAGATTTCTCGCATCTTCGTGTGGAAAATATTTCTACATGTATGCAAACTTTGAACCACCGTTTTATCCCTTTAGGGGTAAAACTAGTGGGTTTTGAAAAACATCTTTTTAAGTCTACATCATAATGGCTATTATGATGTAGATTTGGAAAGGGTTTTTCAAATTTGTTGATGGATCAGTCAGTCAGTACATTACTTTTATATATATATACTTGACGATTTGGATTAAACTGTAAGGGTTTATATATGAGAAATAAAGGTTCTTTAACCATATTATATTTCGTCAACCCTTTCCCACATAAGCCTCACATTAGCCGGCATAAAAATTATCATAAGTGTCAATCTAAGTGATAAACTAGGTATATGACATTATTTCACCCGAATCCGTTCAGCCGATTTAGCGTGAAAGAGTAACAAACATCAATACAAAGTTTCGCTTTTATATTAGTGATTGCATTGGTGGGATGTGTATTAATGACACAATTACTGGTAAAATTTTAAGCCAGTTTCAACAATTCTGTATCTTATTTAAATATTTTGATATTTAGCGTTGCATAATATTTAAGGTAGGCAGGTAGCACATTTTTCAAATTATTATGAAAAATCATGTTGCTAGTCCCTTTTCCGAGTTTTTTGTATATTTGCTGATTTGTCCTAAAGCAGGCAACGGCTTTGCATGCGGTTTTCACCATCTGTAAGATAAGTTTTCCTGGAGGATTTACAAATATATATATATATATATATATACAAACCCCTAAATAAAAACTATAGTATTCACCAAAGCGATAGCGCGTAACTAATATCATCCACTAAAATCAAACAAACGGATTTTACCTATTTATAATGTAACACGGTATACGAGGGCAGTTTGGCAACTCAACGACTTTATGGTTGAATAAAAACTGTATTTTTGCCTCATATTTGGAAACTCACTACGAAGGGCATGCCGTTCTTTTTTCAAAGGACACCCGGCATTTTGTGCCAAAGTTGTATACCTTTTTAATTTTTTTATCTGTGTTTCATAATTGGGTAACGTAGTCTGGCAATATTTGTCATCAGCAGCTAGCTGTCAATGTCAAATACGTAGGTTTGTCATCAAAAGGGTTTCTATATCAAAAAATATTAATCATTAAATAACTTCTTTCCACGATTCACAAAAAATAAGGCAAAAGTAGTTTTATGTAGCAAATAATTTTGGCTTTATTTTGAGACCAAATTCAACTGTATACAAGTTTAGCATTTTTTCTATGAAAAGTGCCGGGTCTCCTTTGGTGCGAAAACAGCTTTTGGAACAAAAAAGTTAGGCGACTTCTTCTTTGAAAATTGAGAAAAGCGAGTTTCGAGTGCTAATTAAACACATTTTTACGTGGTACAACTATTAAGTAGATCGAAGACAAATTGAAAAAGTATTATGGCGATTCTGCGACTTCTCATGGGATGGTACTTAAGTGGTTCACTGAATTTCTTTGTGTGTATTTGGAGGCAAGACAATACCCGGAGCTTACTATTCTGCATTGTTAGAAAGACTCAATAAAAAGTTAATCAAGAACCGACCGCATCTAGCAAAGAAAAAAATTCTGTTTCATCAGGATAATGCACCGGCCCATTCGTCTGCAATCGCGACATCAAAAATTGTCGAATTAGTATACGAATTATTGCCGCACCCTCCGTTTTCGCCAGATTTAGCCCCCTGTGACTTTTTCCTCTTCCCAAACATGAAGAAATGTCTTGGCGGGCAAATGTCTTGGCGATTTTCGTCAAATGAAGAGGTGGTAGCCGAAACTGAGGTCTATTTTTCAGGGTTTGACAAAAAAAAATTTTTTGATGGGTTGAAGAGAGAGAAAGGCGATTATGTAGAAAAAAAAATATGTAAAAAGAGTATTTCTTCTTTCCAAAGTCATGGACTTATCAAACCGCCCTCGTAGAATAGGCCAAAAGTATATACTTATAGATTACATCAATTCATACACAGTCTATCTCTGTTATATTCTTCGTAATGTCCCGCAAACAACCCACCTACTTTCGTTGGTACACCCTAATAAGCTTCAAAACTGTACGTGGTTAATTTTTGATGTTCCTGTACCCTAGGAAGTTGGCCCTAGACTAGAACAAACAACAAATTTTCGAAATAGCCGTGTCTGTTAACTTGATAGCATTTTAGTATCTGTACAGAAGAATTAGAAGTTGGGCCTATCTGGGCTGGGCTTTCCAACGACGGGCAAAGTAACTATTAGATATAAAGCGTTCGAAATCGGAACGGCGGCGCGGCAGTACTTAATTACCAAAGGTTGGTGTGGCGGGCATTCGTGAGCCACAGAAATAATTTGTAGGCCGGCAGCCCTATTTGCGTCGTTGACAAAAAGTCACTTATCTATTTTAAATAATGTTGGCTTATCTTTTGATAAATTTAGCTTTTTTTCTTTATAATTGCGGAAATATCTCTAAAAATATTCAGCAACGATTAGAAAGTAATTACTGGGTTCAAGTGGTAGGGCATAGCCCGGATTCGGGAGAGGGAACCCCCTGTTCCAGTCAAAGGCAATACTCTAACAGTGGGGACACGAAGGAGCTGGTCATCATGAAAGTTTAAAAATAATTAAATAAATCTTCATAAAGAATGTTGCATGCAAGACATCATTAACATGCGCATTTCTCATGATTTAGGTTAAGATCAGCGATGAATCAACCTTCAAATAGTAATGCAATTTAAAGATAATTATTCTAGAAAAAAAAAACAATCGGTCCGGCTATGTTTGTAAAGTCAGTATTCGAGTCTGGATCTTCTGCTATCCGGGGCGGACTCACTAACCAAATATGCTCCCGAGACCTTAATGGCCGTGTCGGAATTTTCTCTAGTATTTCTTAGGCTGGAAAGCAGCGCCATATTATCGCATGGATGTAACCTACAATGTGCGCTTTTCAGCATTGTGGGTAGTTTCAAATCTTGTATGATACCTAGACGAGACTAGACTTTTTTCCAGTAAAATATTCCCTAGATTGATTGATCTAGCAGGCAAATGTTTAAATTTTATTAAAACATATAATAAAGTAATGCAATTTGTTTCAGTATGCTGGTTTGATGGTGTTGATGTTCATATTTGTGATGTCGGCATGCATAGCTGGGTATGTACTGAAGAGGGACGCCGTCGCTTTAGTACAGACCGAGTTGTACGAGACGATGCCTATGTATAAGCAAGATTATATCGTCACCAGGCTATGGGATGAGGTCCAGGAAGACGTGAGCATTTTAATAATTACTTATAGATAAGTGTCATTTTTTAAGTTTTAAAAGACCACTATATTAGCTAAGCGAAGAAATACTGGTTTAATAACGTTAAATAACTGGTTAAATTTCGAAAATTCATTCGTCCGAAAATAGTTTGACAATTATATTCTTCAAGCGTACTAATTCACAAAACTTTCGAACGAAAAGATGAATTTGACATATATTTGTACGAAATTTTGACCTCAAATTGAACGAAATAAATTGTTTCCAAGTAAAAAACGTAATCTCAAAAGTGGAGATAAAACGAACTCACAATCATAACTCATTCCATTCGTTCACGAAAACTGTTTGTGATCCTGAATTTTATGTGCCTGTTCGAAAATGAAATAAAGTAGAGTCAGTGGCGAAATTTCTTTTGAAATTCGTTCGTTAACGAAATTTCGTTTCGGAGAAACAGAGTAAAGCTCCTGTACTTAAATATTTCGTGACTTAAATGGACATTGAATATGTAATATTAAATACGATTTCAAAATGAAAAACGGGCATCTGGGACGATATTATGATACCCAAATCCAGAGGAAATCAAATCTGTAACAAATAGAAATATTTTGGGCTTCATAGAAACTATATAGTGAAATCTTCTATCCTTGGCCACGATTTTCAATTAATCGGCTTTAAAGCTGAAAAAATGTAAGTAATTGTTAATTTTTAAGATTTCTAATCCAAGTGCAACCTAAACTCTTGACGTTTATATTTGAAAAACGTTTTGTCAATTTTAGGAGTTTTTATTGCTTTAAACAGGTCAAAGGAGATTGCTCAAATTGGCCCGAATGCACAAAAAATATTGACATACATGGTAATTCTTGGCGTAATTTATAATTTCATTGACAGTCATTAGATTTCAACGGACAACTTTGTATAATATATTTACTTTAAAAAGGACTTTTAATTTTACCGGTTTGGAAAACAAACGAATCATTTTTAATGGCTGTGGGTGTAGTAACATTCAGCCAAAAACTGATCGAAGTTGTTTATATACCATAAAAAAATGGTTGCCTGTAAAGTCGGTTTTACGGGCGAAGATTTTACGTGACAACGTCTTTTTCTCGGTAGAATATTTATTGATATGAATATAATTAAATTGCACAATAGGAACAAGGAATCGAATGAAAATAAGAATTGCACAAATTTTAACTATAGAAATATATTTTGTTTACTAAAACATTGTACATGTAAACTTAAACTTAACACGAGAGACTCATCGTAACGTTACCGAGCGTTACACTTTTTCATAAGTGACTCCCAGCCGCAACCTAATTTAAGACGTTGTCACGTCAAAAACAAATCTATTTTGTAAAGATCGATAAAATAAATCTTTTTGACGTGACAACGTCTTAAATTAGGTTGCGGCTGGGAGTCACTTATGAAAAAGTGTAACGCTCGGTAACGTTACGATGAGTCTCTCGTGTTAAGTTTAAGTTTACATGTACAATGTTTTAGTAAACAAAATATATTTCTATAGTTAAAATTTGTGCAATTCTTATTTTCATTCAATTCCTTGTTCCTATTGTGCAATTTAATTATATTCATATCAATAAATATTCTACCGAGAAAAAGACGTTGTCACGTAAAATCTTCGCCCGTAAAACCGACTTTACAGGCAACCATTTTTTTTTTATTACAATGTGGTATTAATATCCACAACTATATTATCATTTTCACTACATGCAAATGTGTTCAGACAATAGGCTAGTTGACTCATGTCGAATTGTATTAAATAAATGTTTATTTCTTAAAGTATTTGGTCTAAGGAACCTAAATATAACGATTTCACTTCATAAAAGCAGAAGATTGCTGCAGAAATTTAATTTAAAAAAATATTTTTTAGCCTATATTTTCTAAACACTAAAAACGCTATCCGCCACATCCGCCATGATTGTGACGTCTCTTATGGTAAACAACTAAATGTCATTCGCGTGTTACTGTGGGTGGATTCTTTCGTCTGACTAAATTTATCTTAAAACACTTTTAACTTTAGAAAAGTTTCCGTTTACTGTTTTTTTTTGAAAAAACTAATTATGGATGCCGGCTTTGTGAAAACAGAAAGCACAAATCTGCCAAGAATTGACGTATTCATGGTTGGTGAATTTATTTCACTAAACCCCGATTTCTGCTCTGCGGAGCAGAGAAACGACAAGGCATCTATGTAAGTACAGTGTATTTAGTATTACAATGTAGTAATAAACATAAAACTGATACAGCATATGAATAAGTGTAATAAAGTTGCATAGGTTAATTTCTTTCGGCACTTTTAATCCACAACTTTCCTGGAGTCTTCAAGGATGTGTTTTTATATTCTCGTACAATACAATAATGATAATTACTTTATTTTTCGGGGTATTTATTAGAAATCATCTTTTGATTATTATAAAATCAGTTAAGTTATTTTCTACGTGCTTACGAGTTTTTGTTTATTTACCTTTCTGTGTTTACTGCAGTGAACGTCATAGCATAGATAATCTATAGACTAAAATGGCTGACAGCGTTTTTGTATGTCCATGAAAAATCTATTTTAAAATTAAAGATTTGTAGCTTTTTAGGTCTCAAAAAAATACAATACATTTTTTTTCGGTCTAATAGAACATTTATTAACCATTTAAAACCTTTTTCCAAAAAGGGTCAACTAGCCTATTATTATAGATGGTAGGCGACATCATAAAGTCTATTGCCATACATTTTTCGTCAAACACCTCCATAAACACAATATAATCTGTATATATGTTAGACTTTAAGGTATCTATGGGCCTACGTTGCTGGACTATAAATTAATAAATAAATAAAATTATAAGGTGTGATACACTAAAAATCTAAAATATGGTTATATTAAAAACATAACAAAAATAATGAAGCTACTGAATATATGGCTACAGAACCTAAATCTCTTAGATTTCTTTGGTTAACGAGAGTTTAAAAATTCTCTCTAATCTGTGACTCATTCACAATCATCACACAGTTTCTGTCACAGAGTACCTTATTATAACCGGAAATGACACCTGATTTTAAAAGTTACTCTTATGCATTAACTTTAAAAAACAGGCAACTATCTGTTAATCTACACGCTCTATAAACCTGAATCTAATCCATAATTTCGGTACTTGGCTTGATTTCCCTAGTTTACTATATAACTTATTTGTTTTTTATTATTTTAATATGTTCAGTGTATATGGTTAATAGAAGTTCTCAGGGGTGTCCGTCAATAATATTCGTTTCTACAGTAATTTATATATAATTTCAAATCTAGGAAACAATTTTTCATGATTATTGGTCTTTAGGCCAAACATGTATGGAAGTTGAGCAATCTCCTTTGACGGTTACGAGGCAACAACAGACTAAAGCGAAGTGGACAATTCAGATTCCAATTCGATTATTCAGTCTAAACTGTTACAAGCTCTTGTGAAAGTTATTCGTACCTAGAAGCTTGCCACTTATTTTTTCCAGTTAACATAGGTGTAGACTACATTACCTCTTGGTATCAACGACGATGAAATCATATTACCTAAATACCCACCAACTCCCTAGCTACAAGAAGAACTTCTTGAGGTTTCAAGTATAGGATAGATTTCTATATTTTTGCGTCTCCAAGCGAATGCTCTGTCATCAGTCAAGGCAAGCAGAGCATTAATTAGTATTAGTATCAACTAATACTACCCTAAGACTTAGCGCCACCATTGCGCTCATAACATGCACATATTGCACATAATGATTAATGTTTTTTGAGGTGCACTAACAACTTTACATTTATACAGTGGTTAGTGGGTTTGCTCAGCGATTGTATGAGCTAAACTCCTTTTGCAATAGACGATAATCGAAGGGGTCTCGATTTCACCCGTACTTCGAAAGCACGCTGAGGCGTTGGTCCAATGCAGACTTTATATGTCTACACTTGTTAGCAATCACCAATCTACATTGGGACCCCTTGGTGGTGGGTAATGATCTATATAAGCGACTGACGATGATGATTTTTTGTTACAGTTCCGATGCTGCGGAGTAAAAAATGCCAGTGACTGGTTGCCAATCCTCGATACACAAAATTCGATAGGTCTGCCAGTGAGCTGCTGTGAGTTACCTGTGGGTGCGGTACAGATCTTAAACTGTACTGTCGAAGCGACCACTCTCTACCGAGGAGGCTGTTCGGATGCATTTGGCAGTTGGGTTCAGTCACACATAGGCACGATCGGCGTTGCTGGAATATTCCTAATAATTTTACAGGTTAATAAATTTCAATACTTATTTGATTTGTTTATTCCTCTAGGGATAGATTCATAGAACAACAAGGCCGGCGCTTTATGGCTGAATATCAACAAAATGTCAAAGTCGAACGAATTACCTGAATGAATAACAAATAAATATCAATAAAGTAGAAATATTGGTCAAAAAGCCGTTGGTCCCGCCTGCAGTGGGCTGTTGGCTCCGCGTTCGCGTGTTGATTATTGGATCATGCGCCCTTATTCCCCGTTCCATGATTTTTATAATGCAACACTTTCATAAATGTACATCAACATAATAACAGCTGTCGAAATACAAGAGAGTAAGCCTGCTTTTCAGTCTTTGCAACCTAGAGGTATTTGACAATAGTTATTTATTATACAAGAGTGGAAAGTTCCTTTTTAACCGCGTGCTCGATTTGGATGACCGAGCAAGCGAAGGATTCTAAAGTTGAATCACGAGCGCAGCGAGTGATTCTAAATTAGAATCCTGAGCGTCAGCGAGGGAAACAAACGAGCACAAGGTGAAAAATCTTTCCACTCGAGTGCAATACGTAACTTTTCATCCCACCTCAGCGAGGAAATGACAAAATGAAAAAGAAAACAATTTATAATGACAAAATATTTTTATTTCAATTAAAACACATTAAGATAATCTATAAATTGAAGAAAATAATAAGAAGTAGAAAATAATTAAGAAATATTAAATGTAACGTTGCTACAGTTACTTATGTTAAGTTTAATATTTTTGTTAGGTAATGTTATGTTGGTGTTTGTGAATTGTGCGCTGTTTTGTGGTAAACTACTCGTATCAGTAATTTTAAATAGTTGTGCCGATTCATTGGATTCTATTGGCGTAAATGTTGGCGAGAGAGGGCTATTGTTTCCAATCTTATGGGGGCTCATTTTAGATGTAGAAGGGCGAGACCAAGAATCTGACAGAGGTTCTTTCAGCGTTATGGCCTCCACGATACTATTACAAATTTTTGATTTACTTTGGATTGAATCCTCTATGTATCCCTCTACAACCGAATTAGACTTCCAGCCTCCATGGCGCTTAAGCGATAGAAGATCAGCCCCTGATTCGGCCAAAAGTGTGGCTGAGGTTCTTCTAAAACAGTGACCGGTGTATAACGGGGGTTCTAAAAGTCCGAGAAAAGTTGCTATTTCTCGTGGAATACTGCCAATTTTATTCTGACCCATAGGTTGTCGGATACACTTTCCGTTGCGATATTGTAGAAAAAATCGTTCAATTGGGGTGTTAGAAGGACGTAAAGCTTGATATTTCTGAACAATGTTTACATATTCCTTGCGAATAACGAAGTTGCGGTCTTTTTTTGTCTTGGTATTTAGTACATTAATTAATAGCAATTCATCAGAATTATGAGAATATTTTGATACGTTATTGACATTAAGTAGTGTAAGTTCATTTGTTCGACATGCTCCGGTTATACCAATAATAAGAACAACCTGTAACAAAAGAAGTATTTATAATCGTAAATAAATTAATCAAATTAAAAATATTGTAAGTACTATGTACAATTTTATCAACAACAAAAAATTACACGTATTGACTTACTTTTGCCGCTAAATATACGGAATCAGGTGCTTCATTAATAAACTTTGCAATTTCAGATGCTGTGAAAACCTTCGATTTTTTTGGTTTATAACCAGATGAGGCTCTTTTTAAAAATGCCACTAATTTATGATAGGTGTCGATATGAACGTCTTTCTTCATCTTAATTGTTAATTTTAGCATTGAATACGTACTCCATAGCGTGCTTGCTTTCTTGGTCTCAGATAATTCTATAAAATATGCCAGCAAAACGTTTTCGGAGAAAGTTTTTGCTCCTTTAGCTAGTCGCCACATGTTAAATATATCGTACTGTTTCAAATACTTCTCTCGTGATTGCTGAGGGAGAAGGCTCATTTGCGCATTATTAACTGTTTCAGTTAACTCAGTTGGCGTTAGATAAACTTCATCGTCGCTAATGTCACTCATTTTAGTTGATTTTTTTGTACAGTTTTTAGGTTATGTTAATTATATTAAGCAATAAAACGTGAAAAACTAGAATGGCGCGAAGCACGCAAATAAAACAAAGAAACCAAGAAGGTTCCAAATTTAAATTTTTTCACAATTTAAAAAGTTCTAATCATAAATTTGGCACCATAGAGGTTACATTAAATAGGTTTAATGACGTTTTGAATTTACAATTATATTGAGTACTCATTATATGTGATGTTCTAAATTCAAATCTACTTTGCCGCTCAAGCGAATAAAATAGAATTTTCCAGCCAGATTTCGAAGCGCAAAATTACACTTTCCGAGGTGGTGGGATGAAAAATTTAATACATATGGTCCTGGTAGCATAATAATTATGCTGTTATTAAATTAGTTATTAGTTATAAATTTATTTGTAGTGCTTTCAGTCGGATAGTGTGGGCTGCGGGTTATATCTAGATTGGTCGATACCTGAGAGCCTAATACAAAAATAAAAACTAGAAATAATCGGAAATAGGCCTTTTCAATTTGAGGATATTGTTCAGCGTCCATACATAGTTAGCCTAAGAACCAACAATCATGAAATATTATTTTCTAGGTTCAAAATCGTAAGTAAATTACTGTAAAAACAAAGATTATTGACGGACACTTCTGAGAACTTCAATTATTAGAAAAACAATTTTGTTTTCGAGGTTATGTTAATATTCAATGAAACATAGGTCCACCTATGAATTAAGTATAAACTCAGTATGAAGTGAATTAATATTACAACTAATTCATTTTATTCGGTGTGATTTTAAAGAATAACTATTAGAAAAAACTTGGTTAGGTAGGAATCATGAATAAAATAAAAACTGTAGTTTTGCTTCTTATTTATTGACTATTTTTCACATAATTGTATCATATTGTTTATTGTATTTATTTGTATATCACATGTCGGTATATCCAAGTTATGTCCCTACAGAATATCAGCATTGCAGCGGTAATCCATTTTTGCCGTTGCAACATTATGCTGAGGTGGGGCCCTAGTTGACGATGTACTTTTTGTTTTATGTTTGATGTGTATTTATTGTAATTGTTAATGTATGTCGTCAATAAATGTTTTTCTTTCTTTTTTTTATTCTTAAATATATTTTTCAAGCTAAAAAGCTGATAAAGCTAAGCCGAATCTATTTAGTTCTCGAACAAATGCGGAAAATTCTTTGTGGCTATGAGATGGGAGGAGACAGTTATATAGCATACCACATCATACCTTATTTACTTCATTAAAATATACAAATAGTTGTGTTCACAATCAATATTTTTTAATTTTGCATAATTATTCTTATGGTTTCAGGCTTTAGCGGTTGGTGCCTCAATATGGCTAGCAAAGGTGTCGAGAGACGAGCAAGCGGCCTATCCTTAAAGCTAAAACACTTTAGTGCTTTTTTAGTACCACAAATGTTCATAGGATTAAAAATAATGTATTTCTTTTGTATAATAAATATTTACGAAAATGCTGTGTACTCCCTTATTATTATTATTGCTTCATCTCGAACCCTTAGTTTAGATTAAAACAAAATGTTCTTGAACCCAATTAACCTTGATATTAATCCCACAATTAACCGGTAAAAAATTTGACATAAGTTTTCTTTTCTTGGAATAAGATAAGTTTGACTGTTCTGTGACTTTATATAAAAAAAAGGTAAATTTAAAAAATCAAAAAACCCGACTGCTTAATTATACTTCAAATAAAAACTGAAAAGAAAAAAACAAGTCCAGTAGTCTATAATTCTGTTCATAAGGAACAAAGTTACTTTAACAGTCGGGACCCACTGTTGAAAAATATTATGTATTCTTGAATATCTAATGGGTCCCGACTGTTAAAGTAGCTTTGTTCCTTATTAACAGAATTATAGACTACTGGACTTGTTTTTTCTTTTCAGTTTTTATTTGAAGTATAATTAAGCAGTCGGGTTTTTTGATTTTTTAAATTTACCTTTTTTATTTCACACTTTTTAGTTGGTTAGTATTTTAAGACGGTATATACCGTAGTCTTGTTACTTCAGTATGGGAATTAATATCGCGGGAATTATTAAGTACCTGGCGTCGGTCTAAAAGATTGATTTATTAAGACGTATAAAGACTTTACCAGCGGGGTCAAGGCTACAGATGGGCCTCAATTTTCGCAAAAATGTGTAAGTTAAATCAAGTCGTTACATAAATATCTCTTATGTATGTAAATTTTATAGTAAACTAGCACTTACTCAAAAAGTCATCTTTTGTTTGTTTTTTTTAATTGTTTAGCAGTAAATATAAAATTCATTTACTTTTATTCGTCGACTATTTAAAATTGGCAGTGGCTGCATTGTCATGTCTATGCCGGACGTCTAAGATTGTGATATACACAAATTCAGTGTCAGTCCCTAGTCTCATAATTTGATAAACCTACATAATTCACAGAAACCCAATATGTAGATGCCAGAAGTTAACTTCAAATGTTTTTAATCACCCTATATACAATACCAATCAATGACGTTTATGTCGCAGGTTGAAGAAAGCAGTAATTCCCGTCTGTTTTTTTGGACAATGGTGGCAATTGCCTTAGATCACTAAATTAAATAATTATGCAATCACCAAAGCAAAGTTTATAATATTTGATTAAACTAAAGGCGCATAATAAAATTTACATAAAGTTAGGTAGAACACCATAGCAATCTCATTTATTATCAATTTATAGTTCTCTTTGTAGTTTTCTTTTAAAGCGTTCACATTTAACAGGTCAAAGACTTTGTATTCGACCCTTTTTTATTGGTAGTGTAAAGCTCGAATGAAGAGTACTCCCAGTACTGCAATCATGGCAATTATTTTCCAAATTTTCTTATTGTTTAAAAAAATACCGAATAACGTATCACTGTTAAGCACAAATGCTAAGTAACTTTTACAAATATAATCTATTACTTACTTTATTTTAAAATCTTTTTCATCAATTAAATACTTATCTTATCCTAACTATCTATACTAATATTATAAAGAAGCAAGATTTGTATGTTTGTAACAAATAATCTGTCAAACTTCTGAACCGGTTTCAAATATTAATTCATCATAAGGTAGCTACGTTATTTATTATAACATTTTTCTTTATTTAAATACATTTTGTCCGAGTGACATAGGCTATATTTTATCCCGATAAATAAATTTCGCCCGTACAATGCCCGGGTGGATCACTAGTAAGTATAATATAATATTATAGATGCGAAAGTGAATTTGTTAGTTGCGCTTCCGTGCCCTAATAGCTAAATCGAATATAATGAATTCCCATATAGAAGTAGATGGGAACTTGGTTCTTAGCTACAACATCGCAATACTTATATGCGTAGGGTGATGAAAGGGGTGATTTATCTATAAAAATCTACATTATTTACTTTGAATTTTGCAGAATTATTACAAAACCAATATTATCGCGAGCTAATTAATAAATACAGGAATTCCAATAAATAGCGAAAAATGGGTTATTTGTCATTATATTAAGTAAACTTTTTTTGTAACATTAAGTAATATCGTTAAAAAAATGAAAAACAGTAAAATTCTGAGTTTTTCATTAAAATTCAATAATCATAAATACCTATTATGATAATATATTTTTCATCATTTAATAAGAAGGAACTGTATCACAGTTTTATTGTTAGTACTTCATATAGGATCAGATACTGCGAATACCCTTTTTTTTTCTTTTACATAGTTTACCGCGCTATCACTTTGTCATTGTTGTAACTTTTTAAATATTTGTCGAAATGACATAGTGTAAAAAGCAAAGTTTATCGTCTTTAAATATCAAAAGTATTAGTTTGGATAAAAAATGATTTGTTAATACAAAATGTGCATTTTGGAAATAGATATCAAATAATATTTTAGTTTTGATTCATTATTTTAGCGGTAATGACTTACACATTAAAAATAGATATATGGTGTCACGGACTTTTTTTTAGAACTATTTAAGAGATACATTTTCACTCTACAATACATTATGTAACTTTTATTGTTTTTGCAGTGCAGGCCAAAATGGCTCGCAGATGGGAGATTTTTTGCCGTCTTATGTGACACTTATTGTTATATATTGGCCAATTCACTCAATAACTACATAAATTATTATATATATGTAATTATCATATATGAGCTATATTACTGTTAAGTTTCATTAAAATCCATTCAGTATTTTATAGGTGAAAGAGTAACAAAGATCCATACAAACGTAAGATTGAAATTAAAAGCGTAAGTGGTTAATATACAACTTTAAAGCGTTGTAGATCCTAAACAATCATATAAAATGAAAAATGGTGTTAGGAACCTAAATATGATTTTTGATTATCTAGACAGTGATACCCCACTCGACATATTTTGTCAACTTATTTTTTTTACTTCGTCACAATATGGCGCCTAATGTTGCCCATATTAAATTTTGATTACTATCATATCTTTAGTAGCACTCCCATGATTGAGACGAATCGATTGATGTATGAATCATCAAAATCGGTCCAGGCGTTTGGTCGCTAGTGTGCCACAAAGGAACAAACATACATATATAGACTGTTAAACACATAACCCTGTCTGCGCGTCGCGCTTCGCGCTCTTGCATTGCGCAGCCGGGTAAAAAGTCTGTACAATAACCGTCTAAATAACCTGTAGGTATGTACTTTAAAGCTTAGAATAATAACGAACATTAATCTGAGCTTTTATGTTTTAATACTATAAAACCGGCTCCTGCGATTTGTTCCGCTTCCACTCAATTTTCAACCAGTTTGATTGTATTGTACTTACCGTAGTAGCAAAATTTTGGTATATTTCAGTTCTAACTTTAAATTAAATTTGATTCGGTTACGTTGAGATGATTGCTATACAGTATGATAAAATTATACTATTTTAGGATACAAATATTTTTACTTTTGTACGCGATTGCATATAATGGTAGTTGAATTATGAATATCGCCCATGCTTGGTATGTGCTGCATTTTCTTGAGGATGACTTTAAAGATTTATTACAGCGTCATTGAGGTAAGTTTACGCCTGAGCAGATGCGGTTGGGTTTGCTCAACGTTGGGACCAATACAAAGCGCGAGCCGAGCGAGCGGAGCGAGCGTGCCGCGGCAGCGTCCTCCAAAGCGCCAGAAAGTAACTGGATGTTAAGGAACATCGTTTGTATGGGGCACTTTCTATGAACCACTATCTTCATGATTCGAACGGTACTTCTGTACGTAAGAGGACGCAGGACTTTGAAGGACACGCAACCCACGTCCATCATAAAAATAGGAGTTCAAGGTGGCCTCATTACCCCCTATTTTTATGATGGAAATAGGTTGCGTGAATGATAAGGAGCAAAAGTTTGTATGGTATATATACTTTTTAACCACCGTCATGATCCGACCAGTATTCGAGTGGGTAATGAGCTGTACCCTTAGCACGAACCAATATCGAATTGGTAACGTTTGCGAGTCCAAAATGTCGTTGTCAAATGTGTACTGATTTTTAGTTCTCATTACGTACTTTGTGGCGCTGAATTTCAAGTTTCCATACAAAATTTGACATTGACATTTCACACTCGCAAACTATTCGAATTCGATAATGGTTTGTGCTAGGGTTACTGTTCTGTATTGCAGCCGTTTTTGTTAAAACATATTTTTCGAAACCGACTACAGCGTAGTTTTCAAATGTCTGTAGTAGCGTGCTTAGAACTATTTATTTAAGTTACAGTGAAAACCAGTTTTTAGATAGAACGCGTTTTCCCTAGTTAGAACTAGTTTTTACTAAATACCTTTGTTAAATCTAGAATTGACTAATGTTAAAATGGAATATCAGTTAAAACTAGTTCTTATAATGCGATTCAAATAAGAATAGGAAAGCTAATGACCTCTATCTGTCAAATGTCGCTTAAAAATTACGGTTTGCAAAAAAAAACTTGGATCCCTTTTTTAGCAAGAGAATTCAAGAATAAAAACCAAACATTTGTAAACAAACTATAATAAATATTGATAAATTATATCGGTTGATATATTTTTTTCACTTATTGAGCTTTGGCCATGAATGGTTGATAACTAGACTTGCAACGAATATTCGGTTACTATTCGGCATATTCGGCTGCTTTTATTATATTCGGCCGTATACCGAATATCTATATATTATTCGGCCGAATACCGAATACTTAAATAATATATTTTGTCATAGAGAAATAATTGGTAAAATGAAAAATTAAAATCGATTGATTACGTATATATTCATATTTTCATTTCTGTTATATAAACATTTAAGTAGTCATTGGTACATAACACGGGTACATAATCATCTTCTAAATTGAAAAAATGGAGGATTCTGTGTTTGAATTATTGTGGTAATCAAATTTTAGAAGGGTAAGGTTCTCATCTCTTATCTATTAGACAAGTCCGTCCGTCCGTCCGTCTGTGGTGCTGTTTCAGCGGCCAAACCGTAAGAGATAGATAAAGAGAATGTTTAAGTTATAAGTTAAGAAAAGTCTGATAAGACTACAAACCGGATTTGAGTAACGTAGCACTTCCGGTTTTCGAGAAATCACGAATTTCAAACGAAACCACACAAAATCTCCGAAGTTCTCAATTAATTAAATACATTTTTTTTTAAATCAGGTTTTGGTGAACATTTGGTTCACTGGTTTGCTAGTTTCTTTTATAATCATTTATTAAGTAGTCATTGGTACATAAAACGGGTACATAATTTAATCATTTTCTGTATTAAACAAGTTAACAGTTTTAATTCATTCGTTCATGTGATGAACGGTTACATAATAGCAATTATTTAAAGTTTACGCGCCGTTTTTGGCCATATCTCAAAAGTTGGTTTTGTCGTTTAGCCGCATTTTAGCTTGAGGACGGCAGATTAGAACAAAACAAAGGAGCGCGAAACAATCACGTCCGTCAGTACAAGTTTTTGGCGCTAAAATCCAGCCGAATACTTTTGCCTAATATTCGGCTATTCGGTCAGGGGCCTCGCCGAATATTCGGTATTCGGTATACTGCCGAATATACTATTCGTTGCAAGTCTATTGATAACCTAAATCGTCAAACAAATGTCACCTTAAGTTGCGTTCAGAAACTCGATTTCAAACTTTCGTTTACATAAAGGATGCATGTTCGTATGTGACCTAGTAATAGTGCATTCATATGTATTCATAACTACTCCGGCGATAATGCAGATATGAGCGGCATAGAAGAGCTAGATTTTGATTAATGTTTTTTCTCACAGTCTTAATATATAAATATTATTAAAAATCGGTGGTTGGTTTTTATACTCAAGCTTAGTAAATAAATGTTATTAAAAAAATCTGATGCTTTTTCTCACTTAATCTTAATAAATAAGTTTTATTAAATAAAAACTTTTTTTTGCTCACTCTATCTATTTCGTTTGAATTGACAGCTATGACATCACAATATGGCGCCCAGTCGGTCCTATTCTTAGTTGAATCGCATTATACTAGACAACACGCGTTTGTCCGAAGCGAGTCAGTTAAAACGGTTCTCAATATGTTCTCAATAACCACACCACCTGAATTTCCTACAACTGGTGTTCCAAATACTTACAGATCAGATAATGGACCCTGTCGGGCATAGCAAATAAAAAATATTATAATAATGCCAATTTCTAACAAAATCAATGTGAAACAGTAATAAAAAAAAGGAAACAATTTGGGATCAGGCTTTATGATTTCTTACAATAAGTTTATAATTAGATGTATTTGTTTTTTAAAATTGCATAATTAATTTAATTTAATCATTTAACATGCATTTTTTTTATAAATTTCAAAAATTAAGTTATGCTCTTGTAATATTTACTATACTTCAGCATTATATATGCTTAGACAAAGTTTTAACTTTTTACTAACTATTTAACTGTTTTTAACTACTTATAAACTCGTTTATTTATAACTTACTTACCCTGCCACAAATTAACTAAAACTGAAAAATTTATTATACATATATTGGAATTTATTACAAGTAAATATGATTGACAGTCCTTTAAATGACTTTTTAGTAATTTAAGTCGAAATTTCGAAAATCGTATGCCTTACTTTAATTTTTCTTAGGGTTTCGTCGCTAACCTTAAAGATCTTTTTAAAAATGCTTAATGTAATGACACAACAACCATGCTATTTTTTAAATAATAATAGCTGGCTTTTTAAGATCTCGTTTATCTAAAAGATCACATAAATATAAGACAATTGCCATAAACACAATTTCAAAAGGATAAATATATATAAAGTTATAATATTTTTTCTAATTTTCAAATTATTTTTTTGTCTCTGTGTCCTAGATCTTTGAAATAAATATTTTTTAAAGTACCTATATCTTGTTTTCAATCCAAAATTTGTTTCTCTAGTGCTAGTTTTAACTACAGCTCGGAGGGACAACTAGTTTTATCTGAAAATCAATTATATCAGTGGTAATTTCTAGTTTTGACTAGTTATTTTTAGTTTTAACAAAGGCATTTAGTAAAAACTAATTTTAACTAGGGAAAACACTTTATATCTAAAAACGGGTTTTAACTGTAATATATATACGGACCTGGCTGCGCTACTGAACACCAAGTTATGTCTGTATCCGCCTTTGTAGCGGATGGACGCGACCTTCCGGCCTATTCACGAACCTTTTTTGACATTTACAGTGAGTAACTAAAGAGAAAATTGCATATCCATTGATGCTTTTCTGAACAATCTTAGTAACGTTATAATAAAGCAGTAGTGGATGACTATTTCTAGCTCTATGATTATCACTTCCATTTGCTAAAAGCAGTTAGCGAATAGGCCTACTGGACACACGACACGATATATATATATATAATTAACAATCATGTTGTGTTTGAGCTTGTTATTAAAGTACTATTTCAAGCTGAAAATGTAAGGTACTCCAGTACCTTACATTACCTTAATAGGTCCACTATTGTCGATCGCTAGCACACCAATATTAGTGGCAGATCTCCCAAGAGTGTGTAACGAAACCAAAGGACTGAAACTGCGTGAAGCGGACGTCCACGTGGTTTCATACAAAATTGCTCCGTCACGGACACCCACGCGTGCAATTTTGTATGAAACCGCGTGACGAAATTTCAGTCCCAAACAAGCAAAGATGAAGAGAAAATTGACAATTTTGAATAAGCTGTTATGGCATCGATTGTACTGCGTACATTTTGTTGAAGGCCGTAACACCAAGGCCAAAGAAGGAGAATGTATTCATTCATAATATAACTAGTAGACATTAGAAGCAAAATGAACGACTGGTGATAACGGATCGATAAAGCCTTTTTTTATTATAAAATAGATAAAACCCCCATAAAATTCTCTAGGGTGTAAAATAAACTAATTTTTAAAATAAATCGCACGATAATAGCTGTTGGTTATGTGGCTAAGTAAATCAGTAGTAGTACTCTATCACACGTAGTTCAGCTGGCGTGTCCGCACTGCCACTAAAGCGGCGACAATTAGCGTACAGACCTACTGTAATTGTACGGAGGAAAACCATTTTTCATGACATTGAAACGTACAGTAACAAACAGAGCGCGGACCGTTGCGCTGTTCGCTCGATAACTTATCTCACTCGATAAGAGGCTCGCCAACCTGAAAACTTGCTTGCTTCGAATAATGTTCAACTAAAGTGCAGTGACAATAGGTGTCTCGTTACAGAAATAATAATTAAAAAAATGGCGCAAGGAAGCTTGGAAGTCGGAATGAGGTGCATAAAATATATGTTGATGAGCGTCACAGTGATATTCATGGTAAGTATTTGATAGGCATCTAGCTATTAGGCTTAGATGCTATGTACCTATTTTTTTATCGTTTAGCTTTATCTGCAGCCCATGACAGAACGATTTACTTGAGCACTAATACATGTTTCCACTGATAGGAAATGAGGTTGTCCTGTTTCCTAAGTTTTTTAACGTAAACAACTGGCTCAATGTATTGCACTATTTGTTTTAGGAAGAATTTATTGGGGTAATTGAATATTATTTGCTATCAGCAAGGTGATTTTTATGATTCCGTAGAGAGTGAGAACTTTTGGTTTGTTTTTTGAATAATTTGTACAGCGGTCTCTGCCATAGTCTCTGCTCCTGAACTCTGCACTTTGCATTTATCTTATTAGGTTTAAGGAGACGAATATGTTTTTAGTCAGCAAATTATCTACTCTGTCAGCTATTATGCGTAAAAATAATTTTGCAATACATATTTCGACTTACTTTTAGATAATAGATGAATCATCATTTTAATTATTCGGTTTAAGGTATTCTTAAAAACGCCACTATAAAGCCCATCGAATTTGCTAGAACTCAAATGAGGATAACTTTATATTAAGTGGCACATAACAAGATAATCAGTTTTATATTTATACACAGGGAGGAAAAAGTCGAATCCACAACTTAAACACTAGACTAAGTACCTACTTACCTACCTAACTAGGTACTCATTTTTAAGCAAATGAAATAACTTATCAGTGTAAGTTGTAGTTAATACCTACATAAATTTATTTCTGATGTATTCGTATGAGTAATAGACCGTGACGTCATTATTTTAAGCGATAGCAATGTTAATTTAGATAGATAACATAACTTGTATCTACTACCAAATGAAGCAGGTAAGTAAAATACTTGAGGAAAAACAAAAACTTATAATAAAAACTGGCAAATGAGCATACACACATAGGGATGATGACTAATTTTTTTTCTTCGTTTATCAGGTCGATTATCAAAAAGTATTGGACACGTATTTTTTCTTTTTTTCACATAATATAAACATTGCAGAGATATATTGATTTGAAAAGTCGCATGACGTCACGTTTTACAATTAAACAAGTATAATTTTCACTCAAAAGTGACGTCACGAGCCCCTACTCCCAAACTTTGACGCGCTATAACTTTATCATTTTTTGGTTGATTGCAAAAAGAAAAAATACGTGTCCATTATTTTTTGATCATCTAACTAACGGACTCAATAGAATTTCGTTTACTGTACCCTGTTATCACCCCTCGATATTTAGATTTAAGTTATGAAACTTTACTTTGACCACAACCTGAAAATTGATAAAATATGCGTTCTTTGTTATTAATATAGAAAGTTTTTAAGAAGGCAGAATCTTCTTGGTAGAAAATTCTTTCTCTTCTACGCAGAACCCTGAACAATTATTATTTACTCATACAATATAAACCACTAAACAAGAAAACTGTGAATAAAAACAGACGGCGAGGATTATGACACTTCTATTGTTGCAATATATGAACTTATCTACTTGGAATGATGTTTGTAAATCAATCACAAAGCATGTTATTCTTTGAGGCAACTCGACCACGAGAGTGCATGGAGATCGATATTGCTGAGCGTATGCTTTTTAACACACACATTTGTGTAGTTTTTCCGGCCAGAAGATTTTTTAGGTCACATATATTAAGTTAGGTTTAGGCCAGGCTAACTACGGCCCGCGGGTTACCTACGGATTAAAAAAAATACAAAATTTTCACATGTTCCGACAAGAACCGCCCCGCTGCCGAACCTAGTAACTACCTTTATCTATTTATTGCGCAGCAAACTCAAAGGCGCATTAAACTCAGGATGAGGGGCATTCTTTACTGACTGATCTATATTTTATTTACTAATTTACTCTTCAAGATGAATTTGTACTCTTCAATTGACAGTGCTAAGCTTGTGTGCCAAGTGCCAAGGTTGTGAAGATTGCATTGAACAATCGCCACCACGAAATATACTGCTAATTTATCATCCATTCAAAACTCATAATTTTGTAAGCTAGAATCATCTTTAGGCATCAAATAAATTTTCACTATTAATAAAAATATGAAACGTCATATAGTAGAATGTCCATAGTCAAAGTGGTCGCTTGGCACACAAATAGGTATTTGAATTTTCCTTGTTTCATTTATCTTATTATCTGATGGCTGGAGCTTCGCCTTCGCATTCTCAAAGGTAAGGTATGCCGTGAATCCGGAAATAAAAACATCCAGCCGAACAATGATTATAAAAGACGAAATATGCGTTACAAATATTTTTTTAAAGAAGATTATGCCAAGTATGTTATGCCAAATGAATTTCAGAGCAACAAGATTCTACCAGACAGAGGGAACCACAGAACACAGAAAGAGGTTAAGAAGGAAGGAAGGAAGGGCCTTGTGGGCGGGGCAGGCGCGCCACAGTTATGTGTGAGCAAATGCTTATAACTTGACCAAAACTTGGTTCTGATTGCATCGTTCCTCCTGGGAGTGAGCGCTGATTGGTTCGATTGTTAGATGACGCATCGTTTGATTCACTATTATCTATTAGGTGGAAGTGTAGTGGGGGCGAGCCGGCGACATCGGTTTCCGTACAAACGGTATAATGATCACGCTTCTAACCTCTTTTTGTGTTCTGTGGAAGGAAGCCACTATACTTCCATCTGAAACCGAGATACCGAGAGACGGGAGCGTATATGGGTGGGTGACTAGGTGAGATGCTGTGAGAAAAAGGCAAATAACGTTCCCAATGAAATATTTTCTTTCAGAAATAAAATTCTTCAGAAATAATATGCTGCAAATTTTTTTTTCCCAATTAAAATGGATGACGCTGTGTATGTTCGTCGTGTATGTGTGAGTGGATATAACAAACAGTCCAATTTTTACATAATAATATAACTGAACACTTGAATCAACTGCATCATCGTTGATGCATGAAGTAGAAAAAATATGCTTATTTGCCACGTTAATGTTTATCCCTCCTCCTAATACTTATCTTTCACAATAAAGAAAAAATAATATACACGTGTCTGTATAAGTCCTGGAAATTTGCTCATAGAAAGAATTAATGGTTCTGAAGATCGGCCTATCAGACCCATCATTATATAAGTATGTAGTATGCTACTAGGCCCGTCATTATTTAACATTGAGCACTGCTCCATGTTATTTAATAACTAACTAAAGATGCGTTCAAACTAAGCTGTAATTGTTTTATAACTTACAAGTGGGTGCTCGCGATTTCATTTATGATGCAACGCAATCTGCAACACGGTCTTCTTTGAGCGTCCACTCCATATTTAAAAATGAGTAAAATTCTAAAAAGTATACATTTTTATATTCATGAACAATTCGAAATTCGAATTCAATAAACTTTTTTGTGGCCAGCATTCTAAAAGAAAAGTTTTGACTGTGTGACAATACTTAAGACCTGACTGTGTATAGCGTGAATAGCTAAATAGTGTCCAAAAAGGAAGCTCTTCGATATCACCCAAACCAAATATTCCAACCATTTGATTGACACCATATGGTTCTAAGGGTTCTCCGGAAATGTGTGATTTCCATGGGACTTTTTAAATCGCCAAATTAAAGTGAAAACAAATATTTTGAAAGTCTATTAAAACAACATGGTGGTACTATGATAGCATAGGATTTATATTGAACTTTTAATATGTATGTGAACAACAATTTAACATAAGTAAATCACATTGACCAATTAACAATATAACCAGTAGTTTTCCGTGTTATAGATGTGGCTACTGCAGATATTAACGCAAGAATTTTTGGAGCTTGGAGGGTTCCATCATGTATTATGGAAGATGGAGAATTGGATGCTTCTCTGATGTAATAATATGTAGATTCGTCATTGTTTACAAAATCGGCTTAGAGGTTTTGATGTACTCGTAGTTGCGTCGCAGCAAAATCAAGGTCGCACACTTGGCTAGAAATCCTCACTCACTACATTAGGTGGAACCGTTAATATCGATTTTCTTTATTTTTAGAGTGATAATGATGAGCCACTGTTTGATTCACCGACTCTTTAATTCATATGAATAATATAGCTTTATTGTCGGTAAAGCATGACAACATGAGACATTATTTTATAACATTTTAGTTCAGCGTTTATTTAAAAATTTTATTACTAGCAAAAAATCCACGCTTTAACGGCAACTGCACAGCGGATTGCCCTCTCGAATTTAGTGTCACATCAGCTATGTTCATAACTGGAATTCACCCACACTTAACATCAGGTGGGGTGAAGTAATTTGCTGGGACTTGCAATAAAAATAATATTTCCTCGATTGCAGCTGACTTCAGCGCTGATCATCTCTGTGGGAACGTCAATCTACGCGATCTTCGAGGAGATCCAGTTCTTCCTCCAGGGTCATTTCTACACGCCGGCCACCCTCATCATCGCCATTGGCGTTATCATGCTCTTCGTGTCCCTCTTCGGATGCATCGGCGCCTTCAAGGAGAGCACTTGCTTTATTAACATTGTAAGAATCAGGAAAACATAACGAATACCAGTTTGTTTGGTGACTCATGTGTAATAACAACATTATTATTCTTAGCGAGTTCTAGACCAGATAATATTTAGGACTTCTCCAATCTGAATTTAGTTTGAGTTAAAGGCAAATAAAGCAAATTGCAGGTGTCTGTGGGAGATGGTGATCACTTACTATCAGGTGAGCCGTCAGCTTGTATGCTATAATAATAAAACAAAATGCTTAAAAAATATTTTTTTTTATAAAATTAAGACTACCATCTGGAATTTAGTATCTAAAGGAGAAGACAATATATTTTTTTTAGGTTTTCACGCGCTCCAATCATTAAATGAAACACTTTTATTACGGGTAAAACAGCGTGTATTATATTTTTACTGACGTTCACAGGTTCTTTTCAAAATTAGTAGTGTTTTTATTTTCTAAATAAGTAGAGAAAATGGAAGGCTGTAGTTAAATAATACTGATATTATTAGAGGTGGACGAGGAGTAGGTCTAGGTCGGCAAGTTGAGAGTTGCTGGATTGCTTCTTTACTTCGCCATATTCTCTATCTCCACTCACACTTAATGTCAGATATTAGCTGGTCATTGTCAAAAAATTAACCCTAGCATTTAATTAAATCGTTATGTACTTCGTCCAGTTCGCAGTGATCCTGAGCTTGGTCTTCATCTTGGAAGTAGCCGCATCCATAGCTGCGTACAGCCTCCGAGGGAAGATCGACCATATGTTGGACCAGACCCTACGTCAGAACATGCACCATTACTACGAGGACGAAATGGTGTCAGAATACGTTGACTTCTTGCAGAACAGAGTGAGTTTCAGTAAATAATTGCTTAAATAAATCTTAAAAAATACTTGAAATAAATTTTGGATTTTATGTCTCCATTTACAGCAATTTCTTATGAAACAAACTTTATGTTAAGTTCGTTTAAACGATCATCTGAAAAGTGGAGACTGTATGTGAATGGGAAACAAACAGGTGCACAGAACATAATATGTGAATGGATGTGTCAGCTTTTATAATCTGCTTATAAGACCTGGAACTCTATTTTTGAATCACTCGTCTTGCGACGAACGCTCGATTTCTACTAAAATTCATTCGACATAATAATTCCGAATGGTGGAGGCGAATGATAGAATAATTGTCATTCTTTTTGTGCTATATTAGACGACGATAATCTATCATTTTCATGCTTTATATGAAACGACAAAGAGTAGGTAGTAGTAATTACCGGTTTTTATTATTTCTGCGTGAAATGAGTAAAATTTCGTATTTCGTATGAAACAAGTAACACTGGTGACGAGTGCTTCAAAAATACGGAAAATCAGTCGCATAACACTTGAAAGTCAAAGGTGACTTATGTCGCATTCGACGATACTATGTCAGACGAGTGATTCAAAAATAGAGCTCCTGAAGATAACAAAAGCAGAAGTGATAAAAGGCGATCAATGATGCACAATGGAATGGCAACCTATCATTCAAATACAAATGTAGCGTTAGTGTGGACGACTCAGAGACGTTAATTAAATAATACTTTTCAATGTGACTTCTTTTTTTAATCTATTGATATCACAAAGAAAGTGGCAGCATCAATTATTTTAATTAATCAATTATAAATAAAAATCTGGGAGGTTTATATTGGTTTCTGCATTTCACGGGTATATGTCCTCAATGACTGCTTGGGTAGTTAATTATAATTCTGGCGGTGTCCACAAATCTACAATATCAATACCAGACGTCATCTCGAGTTTATAGAAAAACAAAACTGAGATAAAACAGCAATCTGCGCTATTTTTACTCTTTATTTTTTTATTGATGGTCTAAAAGCAAATAGCTTAATGCTATAAACAAAATTTTATCACAGTATGCAAAATGATACTGACCATTTGCATTTTAAGAACACTAATTTTAAACAAAAGAATTAAAAAAAACTGAACTGTTGATTTCCATACACTTTTCCCGCCCAATTATTAGTACATCAGTAATGAGGTTCTTTCTGCTTCATTCTCAAAAAAAGCATAAAGCACTTTCCGAGCAGGTGTAGTATAAAATTCTGCTTGCACGTTGCAGATGAACTGCTGCGGCGCGGACTCGTACCAGGACTGGGCCGCAGTGATCCCGCCCCCGGGAACGAGCGGCATCGTCTACGAAAACATGACCATTCCGAACTCCTGCTGCGCGCAAACCGAGGGCAAGGTCAGTCTTTTAGGTGTTTTTTTAAGAGCCGATATTAGTACAACTGGGTCGCAGTGAGCCCGCGCCTGCCTGATTTCAGACTATAACAATATAGAAGACTTTATCGTACTCATGTTGCGCACATAACGAGGACAGGGTCAATGTCTTTATTGCTACTTACTTATTACTTTCTAGCTAGATGAACTGTGAGCTGAAAGGCCACGGGGAGAGGCAATACTTACTGACCAAGTTCTCTCTCTCTCTCGAGGAACGGTAATTTACACGCCATGCAGGGTCAGTTAACAGATGTAAGTTACGATTGCCGATATAGCTGAAACCAAAATTCTTTTTAATTTCGTAGCTCGAAAGAGCTTGAGAAATTAAATTATTATTCCACACCTATCCGGTGACCGACCATAGCAATAGTTTCAGGAATTCCAAAATCACTGACGAACGGGCTATCCATTTAGCGCTCCTTCACGCATAGCACCAATAGGGTTTCCCTCACCGTGTATGATAATCTAAATATTGTGGTATAACTGTTGCAGATGGTTGACAACGAGATAATGGAGTCGTGCACCAAACTATATGCCAACGGCTGCCTACCGAGGTTGTTCTACATCCTGTACCAGAGCGCGGGTTTGCTCGGCGCTGGCGCACTTACCATCGCTTTCATACAGGTTCTTACTTAACATCGTTATGAAGTTGACCCTATAATAATGGATATCCTACTTCTGTAATCATTCATTATTTATATGAAAAAAAAAAATAGGTCTTTACCTATGAAATTGCCGTTCTGCCGTACTGGCTATTTCATGTCCTATTTTTTCTTTTTCGCTAAGTATTGTCAAGTTCAAATTATTTATAAAAGGTGGAATGATTTTGAAAATTAGTTATTTGTTTAATGGTTAGCTTTTTCAGCTCATTTTTAAGTTAGGATATGTTAAAAATTCGAGTGATTATAGAGTATGAGTACCGTCGTGGTAGCAAAGCGGCAGACGCACATCAACAACGTATATGGAGCGAACATTACTAACGATCGCACCGTCCGTTATTGGTTTCCTCGCTTCCGTTCTGAAAATTTCGACCTAAGAAATGAACCCAGTGGTCGACCAAAACTTTAGTCGACTATGACGAATTAAAGGCGATTGTGGAAGCTGATGATTCTCAATCTACAGCTGAATTAGCAGCAGCTTCCGATGTTTTCATCAAAACAATATTGATCCATTTGTGTCAAAATTGGCAAAGTAATAAAGCTTTAAAAATGGGTGCCCCACGAATTGAATGATCGCCAGTGCGAAGTACTCGTCGTGTCGAGCCTTGCACTGCTCAACATGCATACAAACGAAGGCATTGTTACTTGTGACGAAAAATGGATTATGTTCGACAATCGTAAGCGCTCAGCAAGTTGGTTAGATTCTGGTTTAATTTGCACCTAAACAATGCCCCAAATGCAAACTGACCCCTATAAATGTGGTTGTCACTGTTTGGTGGTCTAGCAAAGATGTTATTCATCACAGTTTATTACCAAACGGGATGAGCATTACTGCAGATGCGTGCTGTGAAGAACTGAACACAATGATGGAGAAGCTCGCACATTTTCAACCAGCTTTGGTCAATCGTTCGGCTCCGCTGCTCCTGCACGACAACGCGCGATCTCATGCTGCACAGCAGACGGTCTCCAAGTTACAAGAGCTGGGGCCGGACCTTGCTCCTACAGACTTCAATTTCTTCCAGAATTTGGATAATTTCTTAGCGGAAAAAAAAATCAATTACCGAAAGGCAGTTCAAAATGCCTTTGAAGAATTTGTTGCCTCCCGTCTAGCAGACTTTTTCAAAAAAGGCAAAAATAAGCTACCATTACGTTGGCAAAAATGCATTGAATGCATGGGTAATTACTTTGATTAATAAAAAAAAATATAGAAAAAAGGGTGTTAACAGATTTCATGAAAAAACGGCAATTTCAGAGGTAAAGACCAATATATAAAAGGACTAAAAGAATATTATAGCTTAGTTGAGTCTTTAGTCTCATCACCAAGCTAAGCAGTGTTTAGAATTACGTGAGGCCACAATCTAACCCCACAACCTAGTGGAAATTGAGTAATCTTTTGACACTATTTATGGGTCACGTCTAGGATAGTGTAGTTATGAAATACAATATGGAGGTTTACTCCAAAAATAAAAAAGATAATCAGGCAGAAGTTCGTCGTTCGGTGTTTAAATGTTACACCATAATTCGCTTTAAATCAAGGTAGAAAATTCAAGTAAATAGTGCCGGTTCTTTAAATCAATGCCGATGAAAAAAAAATACCGTGTCTATTATATCATTTCAGTGGCTATTGATAATTTCAAATACAAGAAGTGCTAATAATAATAATAATTTTATTTTTAAGCATTTAACTGCTACATATTATTTTTTATTTATTTCTCTGACCCCACCCCACCTGATGTTAAGTAACGGTGAAGTCCAAACGTGAAGATAGCTGATACAGCAGTTCTATCTGCCACAACAGCAATCTTCACCCTGCAGGTTTGCATGTTGCTTCTTCACGCCTCTTTTAAAGGAAGGAAGGAAGATCTGAAGGTTGTAAGAGGGAGGGATCATGTGAGCGAGCTGTTAAATCTTAAAAAAAAATTACTGGAAACAAGTCCACGAGGACCAGGCGGCAGACGGGACAGATAATATGTCGATCTCTACTATACACCTAATAGATTCTCGCCAACCACCATTTAACCCACTAGAACTTTCGTAAAACTGATATTAAAATTCGCTACTGGAATGAGGCCAACACCTCTAGCATGTCCACCGAAACGGGATATGATAAAGCGATATATCAGCATTAACTACTGTCAAACTCCACTGTAGTCTGACAGTAAATGCCGATATATCGCTTTATCATATCCCGTTTCGCAAGGGCGGATCCAGCTTTAGCGCCAGGGGGGGGTCATATACCCAGCTTTGGCCCAGGGGGGGTCATATAGTCGTGGTATATTAAATATTGAAAGTACTTAAATAAAATCCCCCTGGGTTTGGTCCATCTGTACCCAGCCCAGGGGGGGGGGGGTCATGACCCCCATGACCCCCCCCCCCTGGATCCGCCCTTGCCGTTTCGGTGGTCATGCTAGAGGGGCAAAAGTGAACTTGTTGAAATTGACTCATATCAACAAACTTTTCTTTTTCAGATTATCGGGATCGTGTTTTCGTTCTCTCTGGCCAGTGCCATTCGTAAGGCGAAAAGTGAACGCGAGCATCGCCGCTGGGAGATCAAAGAGAGGGTCATAAACGCCCGCACGTCGCTCAACCCTGACGGGGAAAAATACAAGCCGGTAGTCTATGTGCCATTCCATGGGCAGACTATCGCATAATTCCACTTCGATAACATTCAATCGAGATGATAAATAGATTTGTGGATTTTCTAAAAATTACCAATTTAAGATCATATGTAATTTCGGATATATCATAATATACCGAAGTATTGTTTTTCAAAAGCACGGTTCGCCGAATTTTTCGGTGTCTTAAGATCCGCGTTAAGTTAAATAATTGTCTAAACTAACCTAACCATAAGAAAGGGGACCAAATAAGCATTCAACTTAAAGGGACCACGAATTGATACTACTCCGTCATGATGATGGCACGGAGTGACAAGAGCAAACTTACCGTATCGAAGTAAAAAAATATTTATATTTATTTCAATGGGTATTATTTTCACTTAAAGTAGGTATTTCCGAAAAACAATATGTCTCGGTGAATTATGGGATATTCTCAAGTATTGTAGTAGTTAAAGTTCCTTTTTTAAGTTACAATTTACAATGAAGGAACTATATTATACACTAACTTGGAGCACATTTATATTTTTTTTCATTTTTAAGTCCCTCAACACAATTGTTAATAAATTGTTCATTGACATGTCAATTGTAAATAAATTATTATAACATTAAATAACAATGTTTTAATAGTTACCCTTTACAAATACTTAAAACGTAACACGATCACGGACTGTCATGCCACAAAAGAGCTGGCCGCTTCTCGAGACATGCCGCACTTAACGATATCATACGCCGGTCCCTTGTCACCGTGTCAAATCTACTTGAGCCGACTGGTATTGCAAGAGACGATGGCAAGAGACCGGACGGTATGAGTTTGATTCCATGGAAGATGGGCCGGGTGCTAGTATGGGATGCAACCTGTTCAGACACGCTGGTCCCTTCCCATCTACATGGAACCAACAACAGAGCTGGTGCGGCTTGCGAAGCGGCTGAAAAAGTTAAGGCATGCAAATACAGGGGTCTAGGCTCCGAATATGATTTTGTCCCATTCGGTGTCGAGACCCTTGGTCCGTGGGGTCCTAGCGCTGTAAGGCTTTTTAAGGAAATAGCAAAAAGGTTAGTCGACATCACACGAGACCGAAGAGCTGGCAGCTACCTCGGACAAAGAATTAGTCTAGCTATTCAAAGGGGGAACGCTGCCAGTATCTTTGGAACCTTGCCTAAAGGGACTCCATTTAATAATGTATTTTGGTTATTTTAAGGTTTTTAGTTATATATATCTTACTATTTGTTCTTTAGATATTAATGCTGTATTTGACATCGTCACAGGTGATGAAAGCTGGATAGATTCCTTAAAAACGTTACTTTATAATAAAAGGAATGACAATTTTTAAACTGACTTCAAATAGGAGGTTTATTTTTTAAAGGCAGTCATGTTTTTTATTTTTTTAATTATTATAATTTTATGGCAGGAGCAGGAAATAAACCTGCAGTCTAAGAGATAGGTTAATGTTGACTAAAATTATATCAATTTATGTTATTTACGGGATTGCTATACCCTGTACCTTGTTTTTTACGTGTAGGTCTTCCAACAGTGCCGAAATATCGGTGACTCACAAAAATAAGGTAGTGATTCCGTTAATAACATTAATAACTATAATGTTGGCTGCTCTAGGGAATATATCGAGTGTTGCTTTTAGCAACACTGTTGTAACAATAGTCTCAAAAAACTTTAACATAGTTTTCGAGTTTCCCATCTGAACTTGTTACCGCTGCGACCACTCGCTGCATCTCGAATGATTGATGACGAATTTCAGGAGAACTAAGTAGCTACAAATTTGTTCGGAACCCTCAGTGGGCGTTTTTTTTCTTATCATCATTTGGCCTTCATTTGGCAACCACAAAGACGATGACATTACGTCGCGATTTGCATGGGCTGTATATACAATTTCAGATATACAATGGTCCTACAGAAATAAATCATATTTTTTCAGTGAATGGGCCAGATGTTCTATGTTAGGGGTTTAGGTTTCCGCACTAGACAGGGATTCATCCCTTAAGAGGGCCAATGTGCGTGAGCCATGGCGGCCGGTGACTCCAGCCAGCCCATCTCCATCCAGAAGCAGATCAGTATTCTCAGAGCATCTGCAAGGGATCCCCGTTTACCAAGAGTCTCCCCTCGGATCTGGGCGACATCAGTGCACTCGAGGAGTGCATGTGCTACCGTCTCTTCTGCCTCCATGCTCTGCATAGGGGACTGTCAGTGATCCCTAGGGTGTGAAAGTGTTTATTCAGTGGCCTGGATATTTTGATGTTTAAGTCACTGGAAAAGACCCCGACACCAGTTCCAAGGTCAGTTTTTGATCCATCAGTGTAGATCCTTAAGTCATGCGATTCGGAACCCTCAGTGTAACTGTCATAACTATATAATGTTATGTGACGAATTAGGTAAAGATTTAGGTTGCTTATTAAAAAAACAGCTGGGTGAAAGCACAATTAATTATTGTTTGTCAGGTGTCACAATGCACCAATTAATGAAAAAAATATTAACTCTTGAACTTGACAAAAACACAAGTTTAATTATTTTAATTGGTAATAGAGGTAATATTAACAAAAACGACATTATGACCTACTATAACTCTTTGTGTTCTTTAAATGTTTATAGAATAGTTATGTTTACATTTCCATATAGTAGGAGTCTATCAAATGAAGAAAATAATATTAGGTACAGGCTACATTTGACATTAAGTACCATGACTCAGTATAGAAGTCAAATAGTACATTTAATAGATATAAATAAATTAATATATGTATAATTATAAAATGACAAGAGATAAATATTATCTTTCTTATTACAATAAGAGACAAATAGCTTCTTCGCTATTATTTTATTTTACACACATAGCCGAAATTTTGGCTATCACTACTGCTTCTATTGAGCAGCATAATTATGTAGATCAGACCTTGGAATTTGTTCCAAATACTGACATTAATTGTAATTTAAATTAGTTCATAAGACAACAGAGGAGCTCTCTAGCTATAACGTGACCAAGGAAAAGTCTAAATACCTAAATATTGTTCACCAAAATATACAAGGCTTTTATGGTAAAGACTTAGAACTATCCTTATTTTTAAATGCAAAGAATATTAGCATATTATGTATTACAGAGCACTGGCTCAGAGATTATGAAGTAGTTATGGACTTAGATAATTATACAGTTGCTAATAGTTTTTTATAGGAAGTCGGCTATCAGGGGAGGCTCTCTCATGATCTTATAGAACAATCTTAAATACAAAGAACGTACAGATATTGTTTCACTTTCAGTTGAACGGAATGTTGAACTATCTTGTGAGGAACTTGATGAAATGATCATAATATGTGTATATCGACCCCCCTCTGGGAATTACACTCAATTTGAGTCCGCTATGGAAGACGCTTTCAATATAGTATGCAGATGTAATAAAGTGGTTGTTGTGTGTGGTGATTTTAATATAAATATTTTATAAAACTAGTTTTTACGGGTTAATGCACGAAACTTTATTTATTTATTGACGTTTCGTAGCCTTTACAGGCTACGTCGTCAGAATCAAACTTTTATTATAAATATTTAATGAGTGATGTGCGTGAAAACCTAAGAAACAAATATAAATATTTTAGTTAAGTGTCCATTAGTGGGTAGGTTTCTAAACTTATTTAAATCATATAACTTGAAGTATACCTTCTTTGAGCCTACCCGCATCACACATGCATCAGCAACCTGTTTGGATAATATTTTTTGTAATAGGAAAGTTTTTAATAAATCAATAATAAATTGTATTAATTCTGATCATAGTGGACAATTAGCCTATCTTGAACCTAACTTATAGACAAATTACACAAACGGGTATAAATAAATTTAAAGATAGTGTTCATCTAAAAATATCGGACTTACCAGTTTGTAATAATAATAATATTTTGTATGAAGATTTATTCAATTTAATTAAATATGAATTTAATAAAATATTCAAAAGCAAATTAATTAAATACCATGGCTCTAAAAAGAAATTTAGTGATTGGGCCACACCTGGTATTTACAAAAGTAGAAATAAGTTGTATCAATTATATATGCTTTCAAAGCAACCTCATCTGATCCTAAGTTTATGGAATATGTCAAAAACTATACTTTTAAAAAGGTGTGTGCCATAGCGAAAGCTAATTTTTTATCAAAAAAAATAGTCTATCAGATAATAAAATAAAGACAACTTGGAATATAATTGATAATGAAACTGGAAGAAATAAATTTAATGAACACACATATTCATTAAAAATAGACAACAAGATTATTCGGACAGATGATGCCAACACTTTTGAAAATTTCTTTTCTAGTGCACCGTTTGAATCAACTAGAAATCTTAATTCTTGTTCTAGGTTAGCAAAGTGTTGATAAGTGCAGTAATGATTTTCATTTTAGACATATCAGTAGTGATTGTATTATAAAAACATTTAATTCTATTAATATTAAAAAGACAGAGGATTTATGGGGAATATGAACATATATAATAAAACCGATTATCACTGTCATTGCGCCACAACTGGCCATTATATTTAACAAATGTATTGATGAGGGAGTGTTTCCAAATCTAATGAAATGTGCTAAAGTTATCCCTCTCTTAAAGGCTGGTGACAAATCAGATCCCAGCAATTTTAGGCCTATATCTGTATTACTAGCGCTAAGTAAAGTATTTGAGAAAATAATTTATAACCAATTACTAGCACACTTTTCTATAAATAAGATACTTCATTTAAAACAGTTTGGTTTCAGTAGAGGCAAAAGTACTACTGATGTTGGAACTGCACTTCTCAAACTTTTTGATATATGGGAGAGTAAGCACGATGCTATTGGCATTTCTTGCGATTTATCTAAGGCGTTTAACTGCGTTAGCCATGAAACATTGTTAAATAAAATGAAGCATTATGGTGTATCAAATATTTCACTAAGTCTGATACAGTCTTTGTTGTGTAGCGACAAAATAGAATAGATAAAAACAAATTAAAGGAAAAAATCAGAAGATCAGTTTAGGGTTTATATATTTACAAGAAATAAGAAGTGTTTACAGATTATAAAAAAATAGGGGTATGGTACCTCACACTTCACACGTGTGGGGTGTGAAGTGGAAGTGGTGAAGTGGGCGTGGGTCGTCGGCGATCTTCAGAAGCAGCTTGAACGGGAGGCCAAGCTGCTGCAGGCAGATGGACGGCGCTCCTTGAAATTGAAGCGTTCCTGGTGAGGCGTCTCCCAATTCTTGGCCTGCCTTGCTGGTGGCTGGCAGGCGCTGCTGGTAGGTTGGCCAGCGAATATCGGCCGGTGGCAGGAGCTGCTGATGAACGGCAGGCGCAGCTGGTAGTGGGACGATGAAGCTGGTTTAGTGAGCCAAAGGGTGCTGTAAAGCGTTGAGGTCTTTCTAGAGTCCCGGGGCAGTCGGCCCTGGGACAAGGCCTTTTATTAATTTAGAGCTCGGTAGCGAGCTATCAAAAGTTGAGTTGGCAACTTTTGCCGTAGAAATGAATGAAAGATCAGGGAGGCTCGGCCTTTTATAGGTCCGGCACCATATAAATTTAGACACGGTTCGAATCGAACAACAAAGAAACAAAGTAGGTGGTCTGTGGAGGTTGAATAGTCATAGACGTAGTCGGAGAGAGTATCCGTGTCACGGGTAGCCATGGCAATGGATAAAAAACTATAAGTTGTCACAAATGTCAATAAAATAAATAAATCGGAGCAAGATTAATGAAATCAAATAAATAACAGAATATAGAGAAATGCCGGTAAGTGTCCAGCACTCTGGAATAGTGATTTTCAGTATAGATGGAATTATTATACGTATTTACAAAATGATGAATAGTGTGTGATATTTTTGAAATTGTGTGTTTCCAGAAATACATAATAAAATATACAACATATATTACTATGTATATGCCTGATGAATATCGATGATGTTAGATGATAAAATGTGTGAAATGGAACCAATGATAGTCGAAACCATGGGACGATCCCTGGGGTACGTTACATCTTATCTTTCTGCTAGGATTCAGAAAGTAGTTATAAATGAAGCTGAGTCTACAGGAGCGACCATTTCTATGGGCGTACCCCAGGGTTCAATATTGGGCCCTTTGCTTTTCCTTATTTATATTAATGACTTTCCTCACTTTACAAGAGATTTGTGTGTGA